CTCATCCATATTTATTTACCTACATTCCCCTCCACGTGGTGGAAGCTAAACAAGTGCGTACTGCTAATATGTAGTGCCAGATGATAGCAGGTCTGGAAGCTCAAAGGCACCGCCCCAAACCCAGGCAAATATGCTCTGCATTTTCGTGTGTGATGGAATAAAGACCGCAGTGCTTGTTCATTAGGATTCATTGACTTGCCATAATCCAAGCCGTGGTCAAGCCTCAAGCCTACGTGCCAAATGCGATCCTGCCTAATGTGACCGGTGCTTTTCTGTGGGATATCATAGTGCACTCTAGGACGGGCGGGGGGAGAAACTGTCTCTTCCTTACTCCCCTCATTTCTCTAATAATACAATTCCAACATTAAAGCTAAGTTTACCATCTATTTTTGACAGTGGTGTTAGACAATCATAGACGGAGTGGAATTGGAAGCTGAGTTCATAGGTAAAACTAAATCACAGGAGGCCAAAGTTAGGTTTTTGGTAGATTTTAGGGACGCTTAGCAAATGTCATTGGCAAAGTGGAGAGGTTTGCACATGCTGGCCGGTAACAGGGGGCAGTTGCGTCCAATTATATGGTAGAATGAGAATTTATTTAAAATAAAGATGGGAACTTTCCTGCTAGAGTTTTTAAATAGGACCGAGCCTCTGTGGTCACTTAGTCCAGAAGACATCACTGGTAAGGAATAAAGCAACTTCTGTACTGCAGTTATCAGTGTCATTTAACTGTTGCTCACTTCTTAAATGAGAACGAATTGGTGTTGCGTGCATTGTTTTCTATACTTAGACATTCCTATCTAGACTGTTTTTCTAACAATGCAAGGCCTCAAGATATCAAGCCCCAAGCTATAAGCACTGGTTACAGACACCTGTGAAAACATAATTCTCGCATTTGCCTCGTAATTTTTAGCTCAAACACACATCCTCTAGCGTTTTAGGGATTTTTTCCAGTGTTTTGTCCCTCCTCCTTGGCTTGCATGAAGCAGAGGCATGCTCTTAGTCTGCAGATAACCACTTGAAGACCATGGTCAGACAGACACTATAAATGCGCCTAAATGAAAAAATCTAGCCACCACAACATCGTCAACCATCTGAAGACTCAGTCGGTCAGTCAACCGGCTACCAGGTCTGGGGGTTCACAAGGCACTAATTGTTCCGCATTCACACACGCTAGCACTAAGAGGAGGCCTTCAGACGCTGGCAGATGCAGAGTCACGTGTAGGTGGCAAACGAAGGGAAGAGCTCTGCATTCTGTGCATAGTCATGTACCTACCCGGTGTGGGAAAGTAGTGGTTACTGCCCAAGCAATGGGCCACACACAAGTAGATGTGAACGACAAGCCAACAAGTCAATCACTGTCACCACATGGAGTAGTCATGGCACACCTGCATAGCTCCCTCTCTACTGCCCACAGTGCTCCCATTGCAAAGAAGGTGGTGAAGTGCGGAACCAGAGTAGTTGACGACGTTACCATGGCCACAATTGCATCTGCCTTTGACGTTATGGGTTATTTTATCAGCATTAACTCAGTATTGACCTAAAACAGGTTGTTGTAGTGATATAGACAGTGGGTCGACGCGGTTATCGCAAGGGTTTTAGTCGTAGGTGTGAGACCGGTGATGATTAAATGAGGGTTCTCATGACATTGACGCCTACCTTGCACCCCGGACAAACAGAGAAGCCTATGTGCGTCCCGTCGACTTTGTGGTATAACATCAACTAGATTTTGGTTTAATGTGCACATCAACGTATACGAGGCATTTCTATAGCACTGGCTATTGCTTTTTAATATCACATTCTTAACTTGATGATTGTCTTTACACGCGAAACCATCTAGCACATTGAGATACTGGCGTTCGCTCGTCGCACGGCTACCTGTAAATATCACGCCAAGCCAGAGCATCCAACCTTGAGAGGATCCATTCCGGTTCACTACAATGGAAGGAAAGCTTGGTACGTTTGCTTGTTTGCATGATTAGCAATTATGGCATTCTTCCAATGTCAAGTTTTTCCTCAATTATCACTGTGTTTGTGTGACTTTCTTACTAGTTAGCTACATCAAGGAGGTGCTCAATCATGGAAGCTCAACATTAAGGCAAAAAACAGTAAAGTGAGGGGCTTTGGCAGCAACTGCCATGATAGAGATGAGGAACTAATTGCATTAAGGTCTATCTAGTAGGGGTAAATGATATTTCTAAGTTCCACTATTTGTGCAGTCCCAGTCGAGGGACAAACGTACCTGTTTTTTAATGTTCATGTGTTTAGGAAGCTGTTAATGAGTCTGTCTCATTCTGCCTGCTTGCCTGATTGCCACTTTTGCCATTTCCGAACTCCGATGTTCGCATTTCATTAATCCTTGCCCATAAATATGCACTATTCAGTGTCATTGTCTTTTGACAAAAGTATTTAAATGGCAGATCCACGTAGATCATTCAGGCAGGAGAAACCGGTGTCGACGGGTAGTAAAGAACGAATTGCACTAAACAACAATGATAGGCAACTACGATGTACTCTGGCCCTCCGACACGTGGCTGAGCTCGCCGCATTAGGAGACAAATGGAAGGTGACAGTGGTGGTAATGAGGATAAAGATGATTTACTTGTGGAGTCCTAAGAACTTTTATTCTTATTATGTTTGCAGCACGATAAGCAACTCCACCTGCTGCCTACCGATTTCACTACTTGTGACTACACTAACATCAGGCTGCGGAGTAGACAGACACCCACAGACTCAAGAAGACATCTTGGACCTTAAGCAGCAAAATCGACGACCTTGTATTCATCCTTTCAACAATATCCATCTAATCACAACACATACTTGGGCCTGTAGGGGCTTCAATCCCAGAGAGTTTGTCAATTCCATTGGCAGACAGCACAGATGATGACCAGACGAGGAGCACTCCCCTTCCTCCTCCAGCACTTGGCGCAGTAACACTACTGACTTGGTGCAAGCCGAGGAGCAAGATCCTACCGAAATCGGCAACGTCGCTGTGGCTGGTGTTTCCTCAATTTTAACGTTGTAGTTAACACAACGTAGTTATGCTCTGTATTTATATTGAGTCCAAAGTTTTGTATCCTTTTCTTGGCTAATGATTCATATTTTGTATTCTCCATATTTCGTTTAACACCCGAAGCATAATAACAAGCAGTGTCTCCACATCATATTTGATCGTTTCAGCCTACCATATAGAGAAATGGAACCATGAAAATATTGTCGTAATTAATGCAGCTTTTGGTGGTGTCTCATGTGATGAGTTGTATTTTTTTACTGCGTTAGCACTTTTAGGTCAGTGTATGTGTAAGTTCATACCAAAGCTATGCAAGCACCTTAACAATTAGTGTGGACCATGCTGGTGCTAAGCGGAATCTGCTATTAAAAAATAAGAATTGTCC